GGAATCCACTACCGTTTTAGATTGTTCCAAAGTGACACTTGGCAGTCTGCATGCAGTGTGAGTAAGTGTGTTTTAATGAAGGAGTGTGCGTGTCACGGTGCATTAATGGAAGCAGAGAGATGACTAAGCAGAATAATTAATGGGGCGTGACAATATGTCAATACCTGACATAAAACTATTCTACTTTGTTTATTTTTATCTCAAATGTAATAAAAAAATCCTATCTAATTCGAGTAAAAATACATATATATTTTTTTTTATCTTAGAAACATTCAGAGTCTTAGTTTCCTGAGTAAAATTTTGTTTACTGTATCGAAGCCCATACTATCTGCATTCATTTGGATTCCGTATGTCGTACTATTACAAGATTAGTCACTCAAATCCAATTTTTAAAAATACCTTTGTTACCAACATTGTTTTTTTATTACTCCTCACGACTTTTCTAATCCTGAGTAAAAGTTAATCACGTTTTTGGTGACGACTTATACACGGGTTTTAATTAAAAAATTAAAATTCAATTAAATACAACAATTAACAAATTAAAAACTAAAAAAACTTCACTTAAATTAGACTACAAAAAAACAAACAACCCACACTTAAAAAACATTTCCAAAACAAACAAACTTAACACACAACCACTACCCCCATCAAAACCCAAAAACCAATTTCAAAATCCCTCCCCCCCTTCCCCCCCTTCTTCCCTCCCCCACCCCCCTTCCACTTCCCCTCCCCCCCCTCTCCCCCCCCCCCCCCCCCCCCCCCCTTCCTCCTCCCTCCCCCCCCCCACCCCCCCCCCTCCCTCCCCCCCCCCCTTCCCCCCCCCCTTCCCTTCCTCCCCCCCCCCCCCCCCCCCCCTCCTCCTCCTCCCCCCCCCCCTCCCCCCTCCCCCCCCTCCCCCCTTCCCTTTCCCCTTTCCCCCCCCCTCTCCCCCCCCCCTTCCCCCCCCCACCCCCCCCCCCCCCCCCTTCACCCCCCCCCCCCCCCCCCCCCCCTTCCTCCTTCACCCCCTTCCCCCCACCAACCCCCCCTACCCCCCCCCCCCTCCACCCCCCCCCACCCTTCCCCCCCCCCCCCTACTTCCCCCCCCCCCCTTCCCCCCCCCTCCCCTCCCCCCCCCCTTCTTCTTCCCCCCACCCCCCCCCCCCCACCCCCCATTCCCCCTTTCCCCCCCCCCTTCCCCTCCCCCCCCCCCCCCCCCCACCCCCACCCTTCCCCTTCCCCCCCCTTCCCCCCCCCCCCCCCTCCCCCCCCCCCCCCCCCCCCCCCCCCCCCCCCCCCACCTCACCCTCCCCCTCTTCCCCCACTCCCCCAAACCCCCCCAAAAAATCAACTTCCCCCCCCCCCCCCCCCCCCCTTCCCCCCCCCCCCCCCTTCCCCCCTCCCCCCCCCCCCCCTCCCCACCCCCCCCCCCCCTTCCCCCCCACCCCCCCACCCTTTCCCCCCCCCCCTTCCCCCCCTTTCCCCTTCCCCTTCCATACCCCCCCCCCCCCATACCCCCCCCCTCCCCCCCCCCCCCATTTTTTTTTTTTTTGTTTTTTCCACCTCCCCCCCCTTAACCCTCCCCCCCCCCACCCCCCCCTTTCCCCCCCCCCACCCATTTTCCTTCCCCCCTTCCCCTTTCCTCCCTTCCCCCCCCCCCCCCCCCCCCCCTTTTCCCCCCCCCCCTCCCCCCCCCCCCCCACTTCCCACCCCCAACCCCCCCCCCCCCCTTCTTTCCCCAACCCCCTCACCCCTTCTCCATCCCTCCTTCCCTTTCCCCTTCCCCCCCCCCCCCCCCCCAACCCCCCCCCCCCCCCCCCCCCCCCCCCCCCCCACCCCCCTCCCCTTCACCCCCCCCCCCCCCCCTTTCTCCCCCCCCCCCTTCCCCCCCCCTCCCCCCCTTCCCTTTCCTCCCTTCTTCCCCCTCCCCCCCCACCTCTCTTCCCTTCCCTCTCCCTCTCCTACTTTTTTTTAAATAATGAAAATTAGATTTGCGTTTTCACTATTTTTTTTTATAAATTCATGAAGATGTCATTAAAAAATGAGAAAAAAAGAAACAAAAAAAAGCCTTCGGACCAAATCAAACCCATAACCATAAGCTATATAGTTATAAGACGATCCATGAGCTAAACTTTCCTATACATAGAATGAAGACATCTATTATAAACTTGTGGTTTCCCTATTGCTGCTGGTTAGGAAGAGAACTTGTAGAGTTCTGGTTACTTTGAATGTGGTATCTTAAAAGGGTTGTTGAAAGAAGATTGTTTTTTCTATGTTTACTATAGTAGATTTGGAGTTAGAAAGGAGAGTACATTGAGAGAGTGTCTTTGTATTTCTTGCTGTAAAACTCGATCTATATAGTGGATTTACTTTCAATCTCAAGTTGATTGAAAGGAAACTGAATGTAGGCATTGAAGCCGAACCAATATAAACTATGGTGTTGATCTTTCTATTCTTTCACTTCTTTATTTCCTTACATTCTTTATTTGCTTGCATTCCAAGAAAGATTCAAAGACTTTGAAAATTTTTTTAAAAGAACAATTTTTATTAAACAAAACCGATTTACCCCCTCTTAGTTGAAAAACTAGGCCAATCTATTTCTACAATGGCCAAGTTGGCTTAGTGGTGAAGTTAAAAGGGAGGGTGGGAGAATTGTGGGTTCAACTTCCCCTACTAACAAGTGGAGAAATAAAACTTGGGACTCAACTAAAATAAAAGTCTAAGTAAGGAACAACTTGAAACTTTCCAACTAAACTTGAGATCAAACAAGTAATTAAGCCTTAAAGCATAAAAGAAATGAAAACTTAAAAACAAATTATCATTAAAACTTCTAAGTCTAAACATATCAAACTACAATTTCAGTTTTCTTTAAAGAACATATAAATTGAAAATCAATCCAATGGTCCAACAAATTAAGAGTTAAATCAAAATTTGAAAATTTTCTAATAACAAGAACAAAATAAGCATAAATTAAAGAAAAAAAGTAACAAAATAAACATGAATTAAAAAAATGTGGTTATTGTGAATGAATAATTAAAAAGTAGATAAAAAAAGACATAATAATAACAAAGTTGGAAAGAAAAATTATATATATATATATATATATATATATATATGTATATATTATGAACTTAAAAAGAGTTTGTGTATATTAGTGACTTAGTTGACCTAATTTAGAGATAGAAGTACTCAAAGACTTTATGATTGAGAAACCAATAACATTAACTTCGTGTTATGATGATGGAAGGATGATAAAGAAATAACTAATAAATATGAATTTAACTTCTCAATGAAGCATTTTAGAAAATTAATAAAGTTTAATTAGTAATTTGTATATTTAAGTTTTTTATTTTGGTTTTTATTTTTTTTACTTAATTGAGTTGAATATTTTTTTACTTAATTGAATCTCAATATTTTTTAAATAGATCAATTTTGATTTTTTTCCATTATATGAGGTTAATCCTATATGAAAAGGGGTTATAGGTTAAAATTTGGATAATCTTCTATCTTTGAACTTCTCTAATTTGATACATCACACATTCCAAATTTGTACACACATCTTTCAAAAATATTTTGACATGTATTACCTTTTAGATTTTGACATGTGATAGATGTGGTAAAAAAAATTACTATCAATTTGAAGATAAGGTCAAATGAAACTTTGTTTAAAAAAATATTAAGATTCTATGAAATAAAATATATAAGATTCAAGTAAAAAAATATAAAAAGTTAAAGTAATCATCATCTTAAATATAAAAAGCTTAATTATGAATTAAGTCATATAATAATAATGATTGATTATAAAATGAATAATTATGACTATGATTAATTTTAAGATGTATTAAATATATTTGATTTTATTATAGTTTTAAAATGTTAATTTTGTAAGTTATGATTATCATTAACTTCATGACTCATAAATAAACTATTACAGTTTTAACATTAACTTATCCTAAGCTTTTATATATTATGGTCTCTCACCTAATCACCATTGCACATTGACACATCATATAATAATGTAATATTACTTACTAACATTGACGTTAGACCAAACAGGGGCAAATATAAGAATGTGACAACAAAAAAAGCTAAAAATGAGAGTAAAATAAATTGAAGAAAAAGAAGACAGCAAAGTAAAAAACAAAAGTAAGGTAGTATATCCGAGACATGAAAAATGATGAATCATTTATTTATTGTTATGGAAAGTGGGATTATTTTAATAGATTTAATTATAATACTATCCCAAGCGTAACAACATGCAATTGCAAAAACTTTCAGTTCAATATTTGTAAGTTTATTATCTCAACCCGATAATTTATTTTAAAATTTGAAGACACCATTTCTTCAATAACTTAACCCTTTCTAGTAGTACACCTGAGCATGACCCATACTTTTGTGTAACTTAAATTAGCTTCACGGATATAAAAATATATATTTTTTCATACAACACTTATACCCTTATATATATATATATATATATATATATATATATATATATATGCACTACTTTTTCAATTCAAATAAAGTCTAAAGATAATACTTTTAAATAAAAAAAAAATTTGATTTCTTTTAGATATTTCTATAATCTATATAAATAGTTGACTCATACGTTTGGTATCTTTCAAAACTAGTTTATATGAAACAAAACTTAGTTATGTCTTTTGCTTTTGCACTCCAAAAACTTTTGGAATGGAACGTCAGCAAGGTGGCACAAGATCCTCCGATGTGGGGCCTCAGTTTCACTGTTTGCACCATGGGCGTAGCTCCACGATCTCAAAACCAACAAACTTTTTTTCCCTCTGATCACTATCAAACATAATATGTCCGGTGAATTCAACAGGGCACTATTTGTTTTTACCTTAAACTACACTTTCAGAAAATCAACTGTTATGGGTAGGGAAAATGTTAAATCTGAACGAAGCTTCTTGGTTTGGCATGGTTGCTCAAAACTTAGTAAAAGGAAAAAAGAAAGAGAAACATTAATATAGGGAAAATGAAGAAAAAATATATGTAAATTTGACGTTTTCTCTTTTGATTCGTCGGATAGGGGAATAATCAAAATACCCATTTATTATCTCAAAAGGTTAATGTTGACTTGTCCTTTAGCCTCTTTTAAGATTTCACCAATAGACTCAGAACCACAAGGTAAGAACCAAGTGTTGTGAACTTGCTGTCATACGCCTCAAACTCATGTTCGTTTCCTTTCCCTTGATTTTATTCTTCTCTTTGTTTCCTTTTTCAACTGTCTACTGATCCAGCAAGCTGTTTGCTTTTCAAAGTCCCTTCATCATTTGTCTGGAAACTGAAATCAGGGAGAAACGTTGATCTTAGACTTGACAGTGTTAGATTCGAATCATGTGTAGTTGAAAGAAGAAATCTTGGAGGAATTTCTTTGAAGGTGATTTAATCATTGCTGTGAAGGCGCTGAAAGGTGTGATACTGCAGGAGGAGGGGAATCAGGAAGAGCCATATGGTGAATCTGTGGAAAGAATATAAACCCAAAAGGGGGTTTTGGGACTGTTTTTGCATCCCCATCCAATGGTTTAGCATGCTTTCTAGGGAAATGCATTGGAGCTTTGTATTTGGGGTGGTGGTTATTTACGGAATAAGCCAAGGACTTGGTGTAGCTCTTGCTGAAGTTGGCACAAAGTATTACATGAAAGATGTTCAGAAGGTGCAGCCATCGGAGGCTCAGATTTATAAAGGAATCACATCCATTCCTTGGGTTGTGAAACCTATTTGGGGTCTTCTCACTGATGTTCTCCCATTTTTTGGGTATCGCAGGAGACCTTATTTCATTTTTGCTGGTATATAATGCATTATGCACTTCTTCTCTGATCTTCCTAAGTTAGGTTACTTATATTCCAAATCAATTACTGTTTTAGGTTGGAGTTTTAGTAATTTTTTAAATTTTTTGCAGCTTTGCTTTTCCTTGTACCCTTTACGTCTGAATGTTTTTCCAAGATCTGTATCAGTTTGAAAGATTTAAATGAATGATAAGCTGTCAATGCTGTAGCTTTTAAGCTCAATATACAGAGTGGAAGCTCAGCAGTGATAAATGTCTCTCTAATTGGATAGGAATATGGTCAAAATATTCCTTATATAGTTTGACAATCTTCCTCTGTACTAACTTTAAGGTTGAGTTAAATTTAGCCCATTTCCAATACACTGTTTTAGGGGCTGGAAAAGTGATTCTGTGAGGTGTGAGCGTTGTCCTAGCTTTATAAACTGCATTTAAGAACATGTCCTATGTAGACTCAAAATGTAGCCAATATCAGAATAGATTTTGATGACTTTCCACAGTACTGGGGGATAACTACTCCCATGGCCTTAGGGTGTGTTCCAGTCAATATGTATAGATTTGATACCATGTTAAAATTGTCTTAGGTCCTCCTTCAGTTTTACAAAACTAACTTATAAGATAGTAAATGTCCGATCCAGTCTTACATTGGTCAGTCTCTAGTTTAAATAAGACTAAACACATCTATCAAAGTGCAAGGTTGCCTAAAAAAACTGCAATTTGTTATTATTGATAGGTCTTTCGAGAAGGGATTATTGAAAAGTACAATACTAATGAAACATGAACCAACTCACATATAAGAGATTAACACCACCCAATCCAAAATTATAAGGTAATGAGTTTATGGATCTTCATCCATATATGGTGTTCAACTCCTTCATTTTTACTTAATGTGGAATTTAGACTCATATTTGGATTCCCAATACTAAGTAACTGCTTCTTGACATATCATAGAACTTGGAAATGATGTAAAATTAGGAAGATCAATTTTTTACTTTTACTTTATAACAAAGTGTATTAAGCATGAGAGTAATTAGCTTTTCTTCAAACAACCTTAGAAGGGTTACAACTAACAACCAGGATTGTTTGCATATAATGAGTTTCTTCTTGAGAATTAACTATGTACTTTATCACATATTAATGATGCCGTGTAAGTATGGAAGAGCTTCAGAAATTGCTTCACTGACATAGTAGCCTGAATTTTTTCCCTCTTTGATGGTTTCAGGTATCATAGGAGTAGTTTCCATGCTTTTGTTATCTTTGCATGAAAACCTGCATCTTGTGTTGGCCCTTCTGTCATTAACGGCTGGAAGTGCTGGGGTGGCAATAGCAGATGTAACCATTGATGCTTGTGTGGCACAGAACAGTATCTCTCATCCTTCACTTGCAGCTGATATGCAAAGTTTATGTGCCGCCAGTTCTTCCATTGGATCACTATTTGGTTTCTTCATCAGTGGAGTCTTTGTTCACCTTATAGGCCCAATGGTTAGCCTCTGAAAAACCCTTCAACCGTAAAACATGCAAAATTTTCATTGTCTTTTACACTGTACTAAGAGAGCATTTTTGGTCACAGGGGGTGTTTGGTTTGATGACTATCCCAGCTGGACTAGTAGTTTCTGTTGGTTTTCTGCTTTATGAGCCTCGCATGCACCACACATCATATAGACAGGTATAACTAGTTCATGTCATTCCATGGTCCTAATACAAGCATAAACTGAGTTTCCATGTCGTGTATAGGTGAAACAAAATTTTGTTGATGCTTCCAAGGCCATGTGGACTACATTGAAGAGTGAAGATGTATGGAGGCCTTGTTTATACATGTATTTATCCATTACATTGAGTTTGGATGTTCGTGAAGGAATGTTTTATTGGTATACAGAATCAAAGGGCGGACCATCTTTCTCGCAGGTATTTGGCTTGATTCATTCATCAATGTTATGGTTGGATAAAAAAAAATCTGATAGAAGCTGTTTTTGTCAGTGAAGTTTTTGAAGAAACTAAATGTGATGAATTAATATTTGTTACACAGGAGAGTGTTGGTTTTATATTTTCAATTAGTTCAATGGGGTCACTTTTAGGTGCAATCCTATATCAGTATGCTCTGAAGGAATACGCATTCAGGAACTTGCTGTTCTGGACTCAGTTGATATATGGTCTGTCAGGGATGCTTGATCTGGTTCTGGTATTGAGATGGAACCTGAAGTTTGGCATAGCAGATTATGTGTTTGTTGTGATTGTTGAAAGCATAGCCCAAATGACGAACAGGCTAAAGTGGATGCCTATGCTGGTGCTTAGCTCAAAGCTGTGTCCCTCAGGCATTGAAGGAACCTTTTTTGCTCTCTTGATGTCAATTGATAATGTTGGACTTCTCTCTGCAGCATGGGGTGGTGGCTTTGTTCTCCACATTCTGAGGATCACAAGAACAAGGTTTGATAATATTTGGTTGGCTATTTTGATCAGGAACATCTTAAGGATCACTCCACTTTGGCTGCTGTTTTTGGTTCCTAGAGCTGACCACAACTCTTCCATTCTCCCAACAACTGAAACCGTTGATTCCGAGGTGGTCATTGAGACCTCAGATTCCAAAAATGTTGAATTGGTGTCCCTTGTACACAGTGTTGATGGTAAATAGTTCAATCAAAGTTAGAGACATTCTTTTGCACTCTCAGTTCCAAACACACGAAATTACCAAGCTAGTGTAGCATTACAATTGAAATTTGTATGCATTTAATGACAAAAATAATAAATAAATAAAAATCTAAGATGATTCTGTGAAGAGATAT